CCTGTGTCTAAAATTATTAATATGGAGGATTAGTACTCGAGCTAATACTTGGTATTGATGTCGGGATGTAAACTATATCGATGTCTGCTATATTTAATATTTAATATAATAAAATAAAAAGTTAATGGCCAAATTCTTGTTAATTGAAGATATGTGTTTAATGGTGGCTGCAAAGACGTCCCGTAATCCTGCTGTTAAAACAGCTGATTTTTATATATAAAAATCAGGATTACAGGATGTCGTTGCAGCCACCCCAAATAGTTTATGTTAAGCCAGCTAAAACATTACGTTGGGATTTAATTTTCAACTGATACTGTGAAAAATGCTTCTTCGAAAAAATCGCTAGCTTATATTGGCAAAACCAACTATAATCTGAACCACTATCTGGTGTTACAGCACGTTTAAGATATTCATATTTCGGTTGGTAGTAGGAGGAAATATACAGGGTGAGTTTTTTACGGGGCTCTCTATGGGTATCTTGGAAACTACCGGAGTTAGGGGTCTGTTAAATGGGGAAAGAATTGCAGTTTTGTAAGGACAAAAGGTGCCCAGAGACCACCAGAAACAGTTTGCCAGAGATTATGGCCAGATAGTTGTATTAGTCACAAATAAAGTTTGTATAACATCTCGTATATTATACCAAAAACTGAAGTATTTGTAAAATAGCATCACACGATAGGTAAACAATAAATTTTATTACTGCAGAAAGATAATGTCAACAGGTACTGGTTTACAAAAATTAAAGTTAATTAACCAACGTTTGAGGTATAAAATTCAGTAAGTGTTATTATTAACACAATATACTAAGGGCTGGCAAAGGTTAGTCTGGGATCGCGATTTCCATATGTAAGAAGTGCACAATGCGTTTATAATGTACTGAACAAAGAGAGAACAGTAAACACGTTGCCAAACGCACGAAATAAGCCGATAAACTGCGCACATTGCTAAGAGACGTGGAAGGGGATAAGCAGATTTGTCGCAGTCCACCGGTCGACCCAATCAGTACCACATCAAAAAAAAGGAATAAGAAAAGTGTACATCATGCGTTCAGCTTCACGATTTAATTACGTATGGCCATACTTTGTTTATTTATTAACGAGTCGTTGTGCTTTTCCCCAGAGCTTGAAAATTTTTAAGTGCAAGTTAGAAACACATGCATTTTTGGTAAAAATAAGTGGAATTGAGTTGGTATTCGACAGTGGTTGCGCTATTAGAACTCTGAATTCAAAATGAATCGATGTCTCAAAATCTATTAAAAATAATTGATTACCCTAACGATATTCTTATAATTCTATTTCAGATGCTCAGAAACATATCTAATGATTTTATCTAATTATATTTTCAAAAAAAAGGCGTTTAAAAATTAGTGGTTTGCGATCGTGATTTTACTTTATCTGATAGGAAAAGGCGTACCGGCAACGCCGCAACAGCAAACCGTCCGTCGCATTTCTCTCATTACGACTTAATAAGATCCCTATGCGATTTACTTCCACACATGTAAGTTCCGACCTAAAAGTAACAGTTGCTAGCACGGTATATATTACAATTGTTTTATTTATTCCTTTGCAATATTATTTTTTTTTTATTTTCGCATAAGTTATATTGATCAATGTAACAATAAATGCAGGAAGTTGCTTGAGTTTGAAACACGGCTTGAAAGCAGGAAATCTTATTTATATCTTTTTTTAGTATGTGGTGTTTTTTTAAATACACCCTAGCTTGTTTTGTATTAACACATACTGTAATTGTTTTTAATAATATAACTCGATTAGATTTTTTATTTACGCACTTGTCACTGAAGTGATTACTTTTACAAAGAAATAACCGCTTAAACAGAGAAATTTTGTCTTATGCCATCCACTTGTACCGACTTATTTCATTGTAAAATAAAACAAACTATTTTGAAAATAAAATGACAGACACATCTACCACTGTCAAGAATCTTGCCATTGGACAGACCATAAATGTACGTGACGTGAGCTGTCGTAATTTTTGTCGTAAATGTTTCCGATATTTGAATAATTATTATGCTATTCGGGCTTATTCGAAGACTAATCCAACAAATCAGAGATCATTTAAATCGGTCCAGTCGTTATAAATGGAGTAACTAGCCCGATTTTGTTTTATTTATTCGAATAAAGTAAAACCGGAATTCTCCATTTAAATTTTCATAGCATTAAAAGGAATAATGCATTATTTAGGCACATAAGTAAATTTATACATTAGCTAGTTAATGTATCCGTCCACTTAGAATGTAGACTTTTTTTGGTCTGTAATATATCCATTAAAATACAGCTGTTGGTATTGTAACTAGACTTTTCTATCAGAGATAATTACAATTTTCTGGAATATTTAATAATATATACTCAAAAATAGATTAACAGAAAATATGATATAGCTAAGCAAATGGAGTGAGACTAATCAGTTACCTCCATAACTTAAAATAAAATATAGACTGAGCATCTCATTCATAAATAGCTGGAACATGCGGTCAGACAATGTCTTGTTATTGTTGTGTTATTGTTTTAGGTTATAACGAGTGCGACACGAGCCATAGATAGGTTGTCTCTGTCGTAACGGTCGTTCCCTGGCGACTCTGCCGAGAAACACAACACTGTGTGACACTGTCTTTCGTTTCTCAAGTACACCTGAACTCTCCGTATCATAGCCGGGTAATTTTTTTATTTTAATGAAGCTATAATTAAATTAAAAATATATCGAATTTAATCTTTTTTATATTTTATTAAGATTTAGGACAGGTTTTTTAAATAAAAGTTTAGAAAAAAGGTCTTAGAGTCCAAAAAGGATAAAAATAATTAAATACACGTTATAGAAGATATTTTATAATCGAAATTACGTAATTTTTGAAATTAATAATAAATTATTAATTTTAGTCAAACATTTACAACCCCTAATATTAATCAAAACAGGATCTATTCCACAGATATAATAGAATCGGCGACAGGGAGAGAAAAAAAATATGATTGTTGTAATTTTTTTTCTGGTTAAGTGATGTCTTATGTAAATTAGAGAAAACATAAATCTGTTCCATTAAAGCAAGGAAGGTGATAGGAAGTGGATAAAATGAAAATGATACATTTATTTAACTCGGTACTGTCTTTATTATACCGGGTGCGTCCCAAAAGTGGCTCATCCCCATAATTTTTTTTATATTTTCAAACAAAAAACAAGATTTCGTATGTTAGTATATGACATAAATTAGGATTGATTGACGCATTCAATTGTTTTTGGTCACTTCCTGTTTCACCGGAAATGACTATAACTTTTAATTTTTAAACGGCACCATCGGTATATTTCTACTTTATTCGATAGAAAATGACACTCTGAATAGAATGACATATCATATGTCAACTTTTGACATTTTCGCATATGGTTTAATTGTAATTGTAACACGCGGTTCATAACGACAATTTGACTCGAAATACCAAGTGTGTGGTATCAATATATTCATAAAAAAATGCTTTTTCCAAATATGCTAATGAGTCACCCTTGTTCCATTTGAAAAAATTGACATATGTATGATTAAAAATACGATTTGTACATCTTTTAACCGGCCTAGACAAGACACGAAACCTATTAGACGATCAAAACTATTTTTCCAAGGGTGCTTGATTAAAACTTAGTGTTTTTAACAACACCATGGCACCCTGGATTGAAATTTAAAATAGGATTTGTTTTTAAGCGACAATGTCAAAAGTTGACATATGATATGTCATTCTATTCAGAGTGTCATTTTTTATCGAATAAAGTAGCAATATACCGAGGGTGTCTTTAAAAATCAAAAGATGAACCAGAAGAGACCAAAAACAATTGAATACGTCAATAAATCCTAATTTATGTCATATACCTACTAACATACAAATCTGTTTTTTTTATCTGAAAAAATAAAAAAGTTATAGGGGGTGAGCCAGTTTTGAGACGAAGAAGATTCTGAAGATAATTTTAGAATAAACCGGAATATATTTTTAATAAAAACATTATTAATTATTAACAGGGTTATAATTATGATTTTGTTACAATGTAAGTAAGTAAATAATGTAATGTAAGAGAAAAAATTCAGATTTTACATTTTACTAAAATATCGTTCCATTGCTGCCAAAAGTCACTAACTAACATTTTTCCGAACAACCAAATTCAATCACTAACTATGTTTTGAAGCGGAGAATCGATTGCAAAAGTCATTAACTACGATTTCTGGCTATTTATGTTTTATTTTAACACCGAATAGTTACTAACTATAACATCTTTATGCAATGAAATTCATCTTTAGACGCATTTTTCTCGGAAGTAATAAAAAGTAATTTAGTGACTTGGGGGCAGCAATGGGACGATATTATCTAAACAAGAGCCTTTCTACAACAACGCCACTGACTCCTAATGGGTAAATTGAGAGTTTCCTACCGGTCAAAAGTCGTTTCGAAACTTAAATGGATTATTTAAGTCAAATTTCTTGCAAATTTGGCACTGGCGAACCATATTTTATAGTTCTTGAACAGAAAAAGTCAATAAAATAAACACTTAAGAACTACAAGCTAAGAAAATGCGTTAATACAGCCGAGGACATAGCGGCAACAAAGCTTTACCGCACACGTGCGACGCGTACTACCGGTACGCGTACGGTAATAAATGAATGAATAGGCTCCCTCGCCTCTAATCGGTGTTGTCATATTGTAAAGAACTTATCCTTTTTAAACAGTATCCGACTTATAATTTAGTAGTACAAGGACTATTTAATACATCTATGGAATATTAAAACCTACTTTATTAAACTGTAGTATTAATATCTCAATATATGTGTATAACAAGAAAAAAAATATTGATAATATTAAAGACGTGACAACATAGGCTAGATGAGGAAGGCTCCGTCGACTGTACCCAGAAGTAAACATGTGTACAAAAAAGATTGTTTGTCCACGTTGTAGTCTATATTTTATTTTAAGTCTATGGTTACCTCACTAAGAAAGCCTGTTATTACTTACCTATTCAACTTAAATTTGTATAAAGTTGTCGATGGTACATTCGATTCCACATTAGATGCTTGAATTTTGGGTTTATATCCTCTTCGGTTAAATCCTCCATTGTTGTTCTTATCCTCGTTGGACGCATTGGAAGTGGTAGATGTGGATCTGCTGTTACTACTCTTTTTCCTATTTCCACTGCTGTACCGCTTAACAGATGGCGTCTGAGCCGTGTCTTCACTGTGTGCAGATGGAGGAGTAGTAGATTTGGAAGATTTGGAAGATTTTCTATTGCCCCGACCAGATTTTGACTGTCTTTGTGAAGACGTGTGATGTCTGTGTATTTATTTACAAGTGTTAGTTCCAGGTGTGAGTGCATCATGCAGCTAAATTACATCACATGCTAAATCTACGTTTTTATTTGATAGCTAGTATGTCCGGTAATAGTTAACACACTTGTTTTTTTTTATGGTTCGGTATTATCCAATCAGTAGAGTTTGTCTTTACAAAAGGAAAAACTTTTTTAGAAAAATTCATTCTTCATAAAAGTTTTTGCTTATTCGAAAACGTCCCGTTTAAACTTTATCAAATTTTCATGCTGTTTTTGAGGAAAATAAAATAAAATATGAGAATACAGTTAAAAGTTCTTAAAATTAAAACGTGTCAAAAAATCAATGGCAATATCATTTCATTTTTGTTCTTTGATTAGGTTATTATTAATTTTGACTAAAATCTTATTTTTCGGTGGTTTAACATATTAAAGAAACAAGTTTCATCAGTTGATTGCTACGGAGAAAGTGATTAATAATTACCATCTATCAAAGCGATGATATTTTGTAATCAAAGCATGAGAAAACAGACTTATATTACTATAGAAACGCGTTTTAATTTAGGTCTTAGAAATCTAAGCTTAGAAAAAAATCAAATATATTTTCATATTTTTATTATTTTTCTCTAAAACAGAATAAGTATGAACGGGACTATCATTTTAGAACAAGCAAAAATTTTTACAAAGTCGGCATTTTTCTCAAAAAAATACTAATAATGTTTTTCTCTTTGGAAAGACAATCCATGGACATACTGTTATATGGCAGACAAACTAACTAACAGAACAGGGTGAATGGAAATGAGTTGGCAAGCTGTTGAATCAATTTTGCAGCTGTTATTATTAATCAAAGAAAAGTTTAAATAACAATTCTAAACTCATATTTTTACGGTATTATATTACAACACATGCAGTTTTTCTTTATAATTTATTGGTTTTGAAGAAGTCCACTAATACTAAAGTGCAAGATAATGTCAACTAGCATAGAAGATTTTCATGCCAATTTTAATAATACATTCAATTAAGATATTTTTCTTAACACCCAGGTGCCATAAAACAGAATATAATATTAAAAAAAAACGGAAATTTTAATTAAACTATTATAGAGTTTTCTAGCTTTCCTATTTATACCGGGTGCGTCTCAAAAGTGGCTCACCCCTATAAATTTTTTATTTTTTCAGATAAAAAACGAGATTTGGTATATTAGTATATGATATAAATTAGGATTAATTGACAAAACTTTTAATTTTTAAATGGCACCCTCAGCATTTTTTTACTTTATTCGACAGAAAATGACATTCTGAATAGAAGGACATATATGTCAACTTCTGACATTCTCGCTTAATCAAAAATCGTATTTTAAAATTCAATCTAGAGTTCCATGGATATGTTAAAAACACTAATTCTTAATCAAGGAGCCTTGGAAAAATAGATTTGATCATCTAATGTTTTTAGTGTCTTGTCCTGGCCAGTTAGAAAATGCAATCATCTCAAATCGTATTCTTAATCATATATCAATTTTTTCAAATCGAACAAGGGTGATTCATTAGCATATTTGAAAAAAGCATTTTTTTATGAATAATTTGATACCACACACGTGGTATTTCGGGTCAAATTTTCATTACGAACCGCAAGTTATAATGTCAAATAAACCATATGCAAAAATGTCAAAAGTTGACATATAATATAACATTCTATTCAGAGAGGGTGCCATTTCACAATTAAAAGTTGCAGTGACCGAAAACAATTGAATACGTCAATCAATCCTAATGTATGTCATATACTAATATACCAAAACTCATTTATTTAACTCAAAAAATAAAAAAAGTTATAGGGGTGAGCCGCTTTTGAGACGCATCCGGTATATAACTATACTATAGACTACAAAAACATAACAAATTATCAGTGACTTCCTGACTCATCACCTATGAGTCAGGAAGAAATACAAAACTTTTTCATTATGTTTTAATAACATATTTTACTTTTTCTCTTTTGATTAAGAGCTATTTTAAAAATAATGCCAAACGATTAAAATTTGATACTGACTTTTCAAAATACTTTTATTATTACATTAATTTTTACTTGATAAATGCTGTATCTGGAAACATTAATCTTTACTTTTCTTAACTTTTAATATTAAGCTTCCCAAAAGAACTCATTGAAGCCAATAAGAAATATTGTATCACTTAAAGTTTTTATAATGAAAATGCTAAAAACATTGTATATGAATATTTTGTAATACAAAACCTAACTTAAAAACATTTTGATATAGTTTTTAATGTTTCTAAAATACAAGATAGCGACAAATTTTCGAGTAAAGCCGTTTTTATTAGACATTATTCCAAATAAGAAAAATCTATATGATAAAAAGGTTAAAGAGATCTAGTTGTAAAGAAGAAAAAAAGAGGTGCTTTCTACCTAATAATTTCTATAAGAATTTGTACAGTGGGATGCTCACAAAGACTCAAACAATACTTACTTAGAATTTCTCGAAGATGATCTATTTTTGCTGGATTTTTTGGGGCTTCCTTGATTAGAAGAATCCTTATCTGTTCTCTGTTCGGCGGAATTGTTTTCTTTTGACCGGTTTTTCGATCTTTTGCTCGATTTTCTCGTACTTTTTATTGAATTCTGTCCTTTGAAATGGTCTCCTGACGAAACCGAGACATCTTCATTAATAGAGGCAGCTAGAGCTGGTTCGACATGCTGCTGCGATTTCTGGAATTATTTGTACTATAAGATAAATTTGTTTCCAACGAAAATACGTATATTTTTATAGTGTATCTTAAAAAATAATATCGTACGATTTATGCCCAAGTCTTTATTCTTGACTAATGAAAGAATGGAAAAAATAATTTGAGGTTTACGGTTGGTTCAAAAACTGCAAAAAGTACTTCTAGTAAATATTCATAATCAATAAAAAGGCTAAGAAAGAAGTCAAATTTAATTTTGTGTTCAACATAGAAAAGGAATACTTACATAACAGCGGAATTTAAAACAAGATTAGAAATATGGAAGGTAGATTTTGCTTCTTAAATTTATAAAAATATATAGAACTGCTAATTTCAAATGCAGTTATTGTATATTGGATACTTTTTAACAAACACTTTTATGGAATAAAATTAGTTTATGATGTTTTAATATGCATTTTATTATGAAAATTTATTACAAGCACGTAACCTAACCTATATTTTTTAATTCACTTCAGTTTAAACCCAGCTATTCCAGCATTCCATTACCTTGTTTTTATTAGTCTCGGATTATTACGGAAAACGAAATTAAAATAATCTCAAAAAAATAATCATAGTATTTATTATTGCATTGCTTTTATGCTAGTCTTGACAGTCTATAAAATTCGATTTTCTTAAATTTAATGCCGATCAAACGAGTAAAATTGGAACAGTCAACAATTTCAATCAGGAATGATATAACATTATCAATTAATATAATCCTCGTTTAGAGTTATTAAACGTAAAACAAAACCTGTAAGATATTGGAAAAAAACGTCTTTTCTCATCCATAATAAAATAATATTGAAACCTCTTTTCTTCCTTAGTCTTTTTACTCAGTGATTATTGACAAAATCAGAAATATATACTTACCTTGCTTGATTTTAACGAGGGAGCTGCTGTTTTCAAAATCCTCAAACTTTGACTCGGCGTTATTCTTTGTCTGGGTTGGTCTTTAGGCGAATTATATACGTGCGAGGTACTCTGCAAGACCTGGGCATATTTTCCGTTGATGTAAGTACCGATGACGCTGGTTTCGTAGGAAGTCATTATACCATCATGTACAACCATTCCTGTATATTTAATAGTAAATAATAAACTGAATTATATAATGAAACAGTGCTGTCAAAGATGTCAGATGAATGACTATTGATAATAATTTTGTCGAGGTTAATCTTTAGACATCTTTTATTAATAATATACAAGTTGTCAAAAATTCACACTGGAAAGAATAGACCGTTTTCAGACACACAAATTTATTTCGAATATTTAAAAATCAGTTACAACCTTCATTTTCAAGCCAACTGGCAGAAAGCGCCAATAAAAAATAAAGAAAAGTAGGAGCCAATAAATGCCATCTAGGGCTTGACCTCGAAGAAATTATTATCGATTGTCATTCCTCAGCCGTCCTTGACGCCGTTTTTTTTTATCGTATGTAGAAAATTAAAATGCTGTTTAAGTATTTTGCCCTACGTTCTTTTATCATAAGGTTGATAGTGTGGTTGAAGTGTGGCTTCTCTATGTACGGAGGAGGCGTTTTTTTTAATCATTTTTTTTAATTAAATAATTTTTTTCACAATTCGGATGCTATTTTCCGATTATTGGTGATTTAAAGGTCATGTTTTTAAAGACATTTTTTTTTTCATTTTGACGACACGAGGAGCAAGCAAAAATTCAATTTGAAAAACAGAAAATTATAAAAAGTATAGCTCCTCTGCCTCCAAATTTAGATTTGTATGGGAGTAAGTATATCTAAATTAATTCTATATGAAATCGAAAAGAAATTTAGACAAATGTCTCGACAAGTGTTTTTTGATTTCTTTGGTTTCCACCTTTTTGTTTGTTTTCTTTCGAGTTTCTCTCTTTTTTTAATACGAATTTAATTGCTATGAATGTATCGATTTTAAAATTGAATTTCTCATATCATATATCTAAAGGATTGCCCAACTTAACGTTTATGCGGTTATGCGCTTAATTAGCAATTAATGTCAACAGTCGCGTGCATTCTTGTCTGGAGATACACTGGAGTCTACAAGTATCCACTATCTGGCGTTAGTTTAATTGGTACGCCTGCCAGTTTCAAAGTAGCATTGACATGGTAGTGTCACCGTGTAAACACTTTCTCGTGTCAGTAAAGACTTTTCTACCAGCACTGGGCCCGAATTGTGTAACTTACAAAACGCTAAGCGCTTTAAGACGCTCAACGTATATGACGTTAATGTCCGCTTAGCTCGGACTTGACTACCGATTTGGGTATTCTCATTTGATGCGCGTCTTTACCTATTGCGCTAAGCGATTTGAAAACGGTTACCTAAAAGGATCATTCTTGTCGAACTGTTAGTAAAAATGAAAAAAATTGTGATGATATACGTTCTCTTGCTCTTTAGTGAAAACTACTTCTTCTATAAATTCCTAAATAAGGTAACTGATAATTTACTACTTGGCAGCTATAAATATTTAAAAAGTTATGATCCGGCGTGAGATTTGAACCACGGACCTTTCGTTCACTAAGCGATGGCCTCAGTCACGGAGCCACAGCTACTCTTGCAAGATTAGCTATAGCCAGGCGTTACTTTCTGCTGCAAGCATAAATACCAGGTAGTGCGCATGGCACTGTCTTACATTCCATACTCGCGTATGACACTCGGGATTTAATTGGTTTAAAATTCAAATCTGACCAATGGGATTGTGCTAGGTGCCGTATACATGTACGGAATGTATAAATGCATACCGTAAACGTGTAAACGACGTAGTCCAGCGCAGATCCAGCCAAGAGCCGTCGCGTCGTACAATTAGAAGACTTAATTTAAACCAGTCTTTACTTCAACACATGTACTTACTTAAAACTACATCGTACTTCTTTTATTTTATTCAAAATCGAGCAAAGCAAACATTTCACTCAAACTTTCTCACCTTCCATTTTGGAGACCAATCCCGTCGGCCGAGGATTATCCGTCCTCTTGGCGGCGGCTTTGTTTCTGACATCTCCCCCTGCCCCGCCAGCAGCTGCGGTTCGGGGTTTCAATTGAAACTTGGAGCTCGGCCTCAAGTTTATCACTTTGTACGTCTCCTCGACGACTTCCGACGGCTGTCTGGACAGGAAATCGTATTCGGGCTCGGCGATGTTGTTGCCTATAATGACGGCCGGTTCGTCGTCTTGGTCCTCTTCTTCTTCCTCCTCGTCCTGCTCCTCGTTGTCGTCGTTGGATTTGACTTGGACGACGCTGTGCACTCGAGTCGGCTCGGCCTCGGTCACTATCTCCACTTTGCTGGCGATAATCTGCAAAAGACGACGGAGTTAGGCTAATGGGAAATGTTGGCGGATTAATCTTAGTGGCTGTTATTGAGTTTCTAATCTTTTGAGTGTGGTAAACTTAGCTCGCATAGGGGACTTATATCTTTATATAAAATGCCCTGGGGCCTTTATATAAATATGTAAGTTTCCAAAGATATACACAAGCATGTTATTTAGGTGTAGAAAGACTTACAATAGGAACGTATACACTCAAAAGATGCAAAAGAACGCAACGGAGAAATTTGTGGCCAAATTTAAAGTGTTATATTTTTGCTATTTTTAGCCCTATTTCCATGATTTTTTTAGCAAGCTGTATATAATTATATCAACTTTAATTCGTAAACTCATTTTTTTATAAACTTTAGTATTTGGCGTATTATACAGGGTTAATAAAGGGGTTGTTTTTACCCTAACTTTAAAACACACTGTGCAATAATTTCGTGTGTACATTTTCCTAAAATATAATTTTACGGTGAGAACCATGTCTCCTGAGCATTTTATTTTTTGGATTGTGTCAATATATGCCTTGGTTAATTTTTAAGGGCCAAATGACAACCACAATTTGCAATTTTTTCAGTTATCATTTCTTTTTGAAGTTATTTTTTAATGTGGCAAGGCGGCTTTTGTGATTATTGTAAACTATATACTATTATGAACTGCCCATCATGTTCGACGTTTGGGAAATGCTTGGCAGGAGGTTTAGAGGTCGCGAGGTACGGTTTAGAGGTACATTAGAGGTACCAGCGTAGAGGTACTAGCGTAGAGGTACCAGCGTAGAGGTACCAGCTTAGAGGTACCAGCTTCATTATATGAAATTCGCTTGGTCCTTAAAGAAGAATGGGAAAACATAATGCAATATGATATATGCAGCCTCAATGACAGTATGAACGGACGTATGCAGGCAGTTATAGCAGCCAAGGCAGGCAATACAAAGTATTAGAATATTTCTTACAATTTTTTTTCTGTTAGTGTTCCTGAATATTCTATTAAGCAAAATCGGGGTGCCAATTATAAGGAATTGAAATTATTATGAAATCAGGCAATAGGAAACCAAACCAAACAGTTTTTTAGAGCAATTTGTTACTAAGCTGCCAAAAAACTTTGTGATCATAAATTATTATTGTTTTTTTTTGTTCGTTTTTAATCCAATACTTCATAGGCGAAAGACACGTCCTTATTGACAAACATTCAGAAGAAAAATGGATTAGCATGGGCCAGGGAAGAAAAATGTTGGTCTCCGAACCAATGGAATTCTATTATTTGGAGCGATGAAGCTATATTTGATTTGCGTTGGTGATAATAAGAGTCGTGTCATAAGAATTAAGAAAAAAGTGTTTCGGCTTAATGACACGAAAATTACTAGCTTAAAATGAAAGTTAAGTTTCAGGATTCTGTTACGATTTCTGGATTCATGTCAGCTAATGGAGTGGGAATTACACTTTAGGTGGTTTCAAGAATGGTTAGGTTAGGTAATAAGTGTATTAATGCGCTTAACGGTAACTTAACGCATGTACAAATTGAACACACGCGTTTAAATAATATCAAATGCATCAACAACAACAACAACATTAAACAACGCTTTATTGTACAAAAAGCCAAAACGGCTTTATCGACAAAGCACTCACAAAACAAACAAAAGCACAAAAAAATACAAACAACAAAAAATACACAATACAAATAATACAATTCAAAAAAATTTAAGTCATTAAAATAACAAAAAGAATATACACGGACAATTGCAGAACAGTACGCAGTAAATAGATATAATTTTAGAGTTATAAAATATTAAATACTTGACTTTTTACCAGTGTGTGAGATGATCAAAATTTTAAAATTCAAAATTGTTCATAATTAAACATCAACAAAAAAGTCGTTTACCGTATATAGGGCTCTCTCCCGTAAGTATGATTTTAGAGCTTTGCGAAATGCGGGAAAGAATGAAAGCGACTTGATATTCAAAGGCAGATGATTGTACATTTTTTTGGCATTGTACAGTATTGAGCCTTTAACTAGTTCTGAGCTCGGGGTTAGCTGATAAAGATCGTGCTCCGCATTCCTAAGTGGATAGTTATGAGATGGCCTTTCGGGAATAGCAGATATGTGCTTGCGGATTGAGCAAACTGATTCAAAAATGAATAAAGAAGGAAGAGTCAATATTTTGAAATTTTTAAAGAAATTCTGGCAGTGAGTTCTACTGTTCAGTCCCAATAAATATCGAACTGCTCTCTTTTGAAGTCTGAAAATACGATCAAAAATAAAAAAAACTAAAAATCTTCAAACAAGATTGTGCCGCTTGTCATATGGCGAAAAAAATATATGGTTGGTTATCAGAAAACAATATTTTATTCTTAAAATTGACGTCCAGTAGCCCAAATCCGTCGCTGATTGAAATTTTGTGTAATATCATGAAGAAAAAGTTTCGATAAAATCCGGCAAGAAATGTTCCAGAATTGTTCCCGAACTCCTCTTCAAGAAATCTAGAATATATTTAAGTCAGTTGACTTCAAAACATTAGTTGACACTATGTCAAGACGTATCGAACCAGTAATCACCCGAGAAAGCGATTGTAATGCAGTTCTAATTTGATGCTATTTGGTTTCGTTGATTTGTTTTATTTCACACTGTTTTTAGTTTGTGACATATTTTTTTTGTTGCAAAAATCTTCGGGGCTGTTATTGACTTTCTAATCTATATTATCTAAGTTTTAACATCCTGTACCTTTTAAACTATGCAAAATTTTTTATATTTATTGTTTTTTTTGTTCGATCTGGGTCAAACGAAACTCAGTTTTATTTTTTAGTGACTAGTCTACGTTTCGACAATTGTATTGTCTTCTCAGGACTGGACACGTCACAGGAAGACAATATTATATTTGTCTAGACATCGGCAAGTCATTAAACAATAAACCAGAATTTGATGGACCCATCCCAAAAATAATCTATTTCGCTCAGTTTAAAAGAAAATCACAAGAAGTAAAAAAGAAGCAGCTTCGCAATCCACAGGCTTCTCTACTATTTAAAATCAATTAAAACACAAAGTCGCCTATCTAAAAGCACTCTACCATAGTGAGATGCAGGGGTGAGCGTATCAAAAGCTTTCGTTTATCAAGTGGGGGAACTCACCGATTTCGGCTGTTGGGTAACAACCTCCACTTTGGTAATAACACTTTGCTGTTGCGCCTTCGTCACGCTCGGCTTAGCCTCTTCTCTCACCTCCACTTTGCTTATAATTATCGGGGCTTGTTTGGGCTTCGGAGTGGAGGATTTGTTTTCGATAACGTTCACTTTGGTCGACGCGGACGGTTTCACTTCCACCTTTGTCGAGGCTTTAGGAATTTTGTCCTTCGTTGCTGCATTTACTTGGACCACCGACGTTATTTCTGTTTTCTTCGTGGTTTGTTGAGTTTTAGAGGGTTTTATGTTAACAATTTGGTTTTGAGCTCGTGGCGATTCGGCCGGTTTGGTGTCGATGATCTTGTTTGAGGACACGTCCTTCGGCTTTTCTGTAAATAGAGATGTTTCAAAATTAATGTAGGACTATTTATAAAAGATTAAAACATTTAAAAAAGTACAAAATGAGAGACAATAGATATTAGCCTCTACTAAAATAAATATTAAAACGTCTCTAACTAGTACTAGAAAACTATGAAAAAAGTTTTAAATACTGTAATTTTAGACACAAACTTCTACAGAACAATAATTACGCATTGATGTGAATTTTGTATTTTAAAGAGCAATTTTTATTAGCAGTCGCTAGTGAGAGTAATATGTACTTAATGTTGTTTATATTGGTTAATTCTGGGTCAAAATAAAATTTATTAAAAAATTTTGAAAATTAAAAGTTAGGAAAGCAATTTTTAGAAACTTGCTATTTTTATATGTAATTCGATTCTTCGATCACTTTTTGCAAATTCGTCAATTACGTCATCATAAAAAAGGAATGCTCCGACATGATTTGGGAAAGCGATAATTGTGAAAGTTTCTCCTGATCCGTTGAATTTCTCACCAAATTTTTTATACGTTTAAGTGTTGGAAAATTGCGTTCTACTGATTTCGAAACTTCGATGTAGGTATCTTCTAGCTTCTTGTCTTTTAAAATTTGCATTCGTTCTCTAGCGTTATTTGTTGCACTCATGTCATTAGTTTCGTAAATCACTTTTAGTTCAGATCGCAGTAACACTCGGTCGAAGAACTGACCATAATGAAGAAGAACAGATGTAAACGCATCTTCTGGAAAAGTTTTTCCTTTATATGCATCAAAATTGCAGAGCTCGAGGAATTTAAAATCATTTAAACCGTTAAATCTACAGTTTATTTAAATTAATAAGAAGTAGAGAAAAGACTCAAAGTCTTGGTTTTTTCTACTACTTTTTAATGTAAACCAGGTCTCTTTGAGAAGAATGGGCGCCTTCTTAAAATTACAGTTTATTTGTTGCTTAATAAAAAAAATATCTGTTCGTGAAAAACAAACGACATCGATAAATCTTTTTAATATTTGCCTATTTTTATCGACTAGTTTTTTGTGTTGGCTGTGTCTAATTTCCAACTGCTCATTAAGGGCGTCTCCGATTTTGTTTTTGCCAAAGACTTTTTCTTTTATGACGGCCTGCAAATGTGCTTTGGATATAATCTGTCGTTTTACAGCTTTATGGAAATTGTTTAAATCGGAAAAACCAGTTTTATTCCAGAGACCGTTTTCATTTTCAAATAATAAATATGGCCAACCAATTACATTTTAAAAGATGATGTTTTGCAATTTGTTTAGGGGAAGCACTGCTTCCCTTGCTTCCATGAACTACACGCCGCTGGTTGTCAGTAAAAATCATTCTATTGTATAACAGGAAGCGCGTTGGGGAAAGTTGGAACAAATAACATTTCAAGGACAATGAATGACCTATATATTTCATAATAATAGTAATGACTAGGTAATCGACACGAAGATGCATAAATGAGTTTAATTTACTTTGGTTTCAATTTTGCTTTTCTTGATTCTCTAGATTTTTTTATTCTAATACGAATTTGATTGTTTTGAATGCCTTGATTTTAAAATTGAATGTTTATACGTCTAATGCTTGCCTAGTAAAAATATGTTTTAAAATCAGTTGTTAAACTTATACTGGCGTAGTGTTAGTTATCAAATCAGTAAAAGTGGACTTTTACTAGTTATTGTTGATGACATTACTGATATATCAATTTTACTGTATCACATACTAGCCCTGGTCACTTTATTTCCGTGGTCTGTACTTTAATGCATACAATACATACTGAGATAAATTATATACGACCAGTTCACAGACAGAGAGACAAAATAAAAAGCGCCAAAGACTATTGCCGGTTTTGTACGAGAAATAAAATAATAAGATAAAATAATATACCTAAGCTATTCAATAATGCTTGTTTATCCTCGACTGAATTTGATTATTATACATGCGTTTATGAAATAAATAATATTCATTATTCACTAGTGAATAATGGTTTCATTATTCACCGCTTTCACGGATATCTCGATCCAAACTCCAAACAAGAGCTGTGCTCGATCCAAACCGGCTTGGAATGCGATTGTACGCACAAAATAAAATTAGTTAGCTCCCTAGTTAAAGAAAATTTCAATGTTTTGTTTCCATGTTACTTACTCGTTATACTCGTACAATATTTTTTTGACATCAAAAATAAAAAGTTATATTAATATTATCTAAATTTTTTTGATAGTCCTGGATAAAGTACCAGTATTCTACTTGCATAAACTTCATCCGCGTGAATAACAGCTACCATTATGCTCATTCAATAATATACTATTCTGTTATACAGTTGTTTAAGAATCAATTATGAAACAGTTTGGTTTAAGAATCTAACTAATTATGAAACAAAGTTCTAACCCCAGATGCAACATTTTTCGCAAACACCTACTTGTGCGCTTTGAAATTTTGATACAAAATCCGGCAATACAGCATAGAAGAAATGTATTAAACTAACTTTTATCTCTTTTTAATACATTTAATTTTTCATTTAAGCTGTCTACATCACTGTCTTACACGTTAAAATCCAGACCACGCAGTTTCGATGACCAGATCGGTATATTCTCAATCTTTATCTTTAAATATTAATATTTTTAATAACAATATTTTAATATTAACAGCATTACCACGAAATTTGCTTAACTGTGCATTTTATCTCCTATAAATTATTATGGATTAATGGTTTTAGAACACGGGATTAAACAAACTTTATAATTGGGTTATACGCTATAAAAGGTAAATTACGAAACTTTACTGTTTAACGCAAAATAATTTACCTATTGCAGCTGCTGATGAACTCTGCGGCGAAAACACCATAACCGTATTACCAATGGTTGTTGTAAAGTCAAGAAAACCATACACTGTCTGAGTAACGAGGTTGTCATTTTTCACAACAGGCGTAGCTATTTGGGCAGATATGTCTTGATTAACGAATACTGGGGCATTTTGACATGATACCAAACTGCCTGTAACAAGAAAAAAATGTAATTAGAGAGTTTTGTATAAATCAACAGCAGATGATTCAAATCTTACAGAACTTTACACTATTTTTCATATAGAATACAGTGGCGGAACTAGTTTTTATTCGAAATATGACTCAAACATATGTTTTTTTTAAATGGGGACTCGGCATATTATTTATTTTATTTTATTTTTTTTGTTATGAGCTTTCTAAAAATATAATACCTACATATACTCTATACTTGTTTTCATAACTATGGTAAAGAAATGCATTATTTAACTTTTTAACACAAATCAATCGAGTTTAAACGCGAGTATTATTATTTTATTTAATTTAATTTAACAATATTATTTTGTTTTTTATTGTGTTATCTTAATAAAAGAATACGAACTTGTGTTCGTTTTAAATAACAGGATATTGATATTTTTGATGCACTGGTTCAATAATTTCACACTCAGAAACTAGCGTGGAATAGCCAATAACCAAAATTTGATGTCGAATAAACTATTCGATTGTTTCGATTTCCTAATTTAAATCTGCCGCCTATGTTTAAAAGTTAAATAATGCATTTTTTCTACAAACGTCAGTAAAAATGTAATTTTTAACGCATGCTGTCAGTGCCTAAAATATGACATTATGTCACTGATGGTAAAAGTAATTTGATTCACGTGATTTACTTTTAACAGGGAAGCGATAATTGAAAAAAAAATGTAAAATAATTATTTACTCAAATTAAATGTACAATTAGTGAAATTACAATTGGAATAAGTTATTCCAGTCGATTATATGAAAACTCGTACTGATCCTTGGACTTGCTGGGTAATAAATCAAAAATAATTCTATTAGCGAGTTCTTTTCATCATTTTACAAGAGTTGAGGCACAAATTTGATATTAGTTGACAACAAATGATCGAATGGTTTGAATCTTTCAATTACCCTAGCAACCATAAACTTCATAATTAATTTGATTAATCAGAATGACAAAGTAAAAAGTAATTTGATATACTCGAGCATAAACTTGTTTGTAGAAAAACTAGAGTATGATATGTGTGTTAGAAGTGATTTTATTTTGTTCGAAGAGATGGGACACGACGCCGAACGCGGAGAAAAAATACGTGGTAAATAAAATACCATTTTTAGCACTTATATCATAAATAACTATTTTGCATTGTTTATGAAAATTAGTATATTATATATATAACACAAAAGAAAAACCAAAAACTTAACATTAATTTTGAAAACAAGTAATTCTCGGTCGCAAATGTTTTTGTTTTTCACCCAGTCTTTTAGGCATAACAAACATCGTGCAGATTCATTATTGAGGCGATTTCTGTGTTTTCTAATGGTTAACGCAGCACGAGAGAATAACCTTGCCGCCGGTCTTTTCGATAACATATCGGCAACTGAGATACGAGGGGAGTGAAAAATACAATATTTTCAAATTCGCCCTGTATTTCTGTATTTCAGAAACCAAGAGGGCTAGGACATATCTGTGTGTAGCTTCTTTAGATTCATACACTGAAAAAAATATTGTTCATAATAATAATGAACATTGATTATTAACTGTTGTTTCATTAATATAATGATTTGTTAATCATAGATCGATGTCAGATTTATTAATACTATGAATCTAATTTCATCAATATAATGAAAATCTGGTTATTAAATTAATGTAAGATTTTCATTGTTCCAATGAATGCGTTCTTTATTTTAGTGCTGAAACTTTAATATACATCATAACACATATCATCATTGATTAATGAGTTGTACATTGTGACAATGAACACTGTTATTAATACAACGAACACACTACATTATATTAATATACGCGGTTATTAATATCATGAATACAATATTAGGGCTTAAATGTCCGCCATGTTGATCGGTTACTTTGGCACTTTAATAACGTCTGTGTGGTTGAGTTATTCAGTGAGGCTTTAGTTTCATTAGAGCGGTAAGTGTTCTCTTCAATATTTTAAATATTCTAAATAAAAGTCCTATCGTATTGTAGTTTATTTGTTGTGTTGTCAAATCAAATTCCGCTGTGTGAGATCTCTGGTGTGGGTATTCATTAAAACAGCGGTTTCCAAATATGTTTCAGAAGATAAAAACGAAAAGAAGAAAAACATAGTAACAAGTCGAGGCATGGAACTGATTATGGTAAATTCGAATGTTCTTTTAATATTTGGCATTTTAATTATTTTGATATACGTCTTTTAGAACCGGAAGAAGATGTTGAGACCTGCCTTCAAGCCCTCAAATTCGACAATTTAACATCGGACCCACTTGATGCGACTTGGAAAGTCTGTTGCAAATTCGTCTAGACGTTATAAAGTCTAAGGATACAGCTAATATAATGAATAAATGGTCTTTTTATCGAAATCCCTCAGGATATCGACTGGTAAATTAATTTTCTTATTATAATTTACCCTAAAATTAATAATAACATTACTATTCTCTTCGTCGATTCGATTTTTTTAAATTTTTAATTTGTATATGCTATATCGAGTTTAATAAATTATTATTAGTTTATTGCACTTGTTTTTTTATTAATAACCCCTTATGGAAAAATTTACTGTGCTCGTAAGTAAGTCGGCACTATAAGTAATTTTGTTACCTTTGGCTAAGGGCTTGTTCAAATGGAAATCTATTTATAGTAGAATTATTTCAGGTAGTTGGCTGGGAAATGATTATCAATGACATTTCATATCAATGACAGCAATCTTCATCATCGATTATACGGTGTAACAAGAGTTACTAATAGTGTCGACTTTCAAATGCATAACTAAATAGGTTATGAAATTATTTCATTGTATTAATGATAACGGTTCATTAATATAAGGATTTAGGTACATTATATTAATGGAATCTGTTCATTGTACCAATGAAAGTGTTCTTCAAACTAATGAACACTGTTCATTGATTTAATGAACTTAAAGTTCATAGAGTTAATGAATTACTTTTCATTGTGCCAATGAAATCGTTCATCGGCTCAAAATTAATGATTTAATTCATTATATTAATGAACTTTTTCATTATATTTATGTCGACTTTTGGTTCAGTGTAAAAATGGCAAAATGATTTGAAAACTGCATTTTTCTATTCATAAACGAGGAACCTCATAAAACACACGAAAATGGAACATCCTGTACATCACTTTTGCCATAGATTGTTTCTTGTTTTTATTTATTTTAGTGAACGTTTTTTTATTATCTTAATTATCTTATAATAAAATAACATAAAGAATTGAAAATTGTTGACTCAAGTTTACTTGAAAATCTTAACAACAAAAACATTAACGTAATTTTCAGTACGTCAATTTTTAGTCCTACCAATCTATTGAAGCAATAATTCAATAAATACATAATCTTCTCTACGTGTAACTATGTCAATGAAATATACTTGGCATATATTATTTCAATTATTATTTATTTTTGTACATATCTTAATAATTTATTTCTAATTACTCATAAATTCATAGAGGTTGGTTTGGTTTAGTCCTATGTCATCCAATATAATGCGAAATAAACAAAACCATTAATATTCATAAATGCTTAAATATACATGAAGAGCGCATTTATAAATTCTATTTTAGGTTTAATCCTAATTGAGTTGGGAAATCGTATCTCCCGCCTCTCTCGCTAAATTTTACAATACTAGTATAGCACCATAAGGAATTTTGCTGTGCAAAATACACTCAGATGGAAAAAAACACAATGGAGAAACTTTTGGTGAAATTTAAAGTGTTATATTTTTGTTATTTTTAGCTCTATTTTTATGAATATTTTAGCAAGTTGTATACTGGGTGGGTCTCAAAAGTGGCTCACCCCCTATAACTTTTTTATTTTTTCAGATAAAAAAACGAAATTTGGTATGTTAGTATATGACATAAATTAAGATTGATTGACTTATTCAATTGTTTTTGATCACTTCCTCAAAACAAAAACCAAAAACTTAACATTAATTTTGAAAAAAAATCATATATGTCATTATTATAAAATCATATATTAACACAAAAGAAAAACCAAAAACTTAACATTAATTTTGAAAACAAGTAATTCTCGGTCGCAAATGTTTTTGTTTTTCACCCAGTCTTTTAGGCATAACAAACATCGTGCAGATTCATTATTGAGGCGATTTCTGTGTTTTCTAATGGTTAACGCAGCACGAGAGAATAACCTTGCCGCCGGGACTGAGGTAGCTGGTATACTCAAGAGAACTCGTGCCATCAAACTTAAAATGGGAAGTTCAGAACCATGAGTTCCCCACCATTGTAATATATCTGTGTCTTTATTACACCGGGGAATTGAATAGTATTTTTGAAGCTCCTGCGTCCATTCTCCTTCGGCAGGGGTAGGATTTACTGCGTACAAGGCATCAAAATCAATTACTAAGTCCGACTTTTCAGGTCCAGGATTTTCTCATCCTTATTGCGCCACCGCTGTTTCTGTCGAACGTTGTCCCTCTAATTGATGAAAATAGACTACAAATATCTTGAATTTTCTGAATCGAATTATCTTTTAATTCTTGGGCCCATTTTGTCATATCTAACGTTTCTAACTTATGACGTGGATCGAGAATTAAAACTGAAGCATAAATCCAGTTCGTTGTACGATAATGCTTTAGTATTTTGTCTCTCGCAGCCTGAAAACCAACAATAAGCTGCTCTTTGACAGGGGTTCGATTGGTTTTTCTGTCCCATTCAAATATTTTGCTCTCAAGATTATCTATTAGTATATTGATACATACAACCACCATACGTACCTCTCTCCTCCGAGAAAGTATTTGAAAATTGATTAATTATTTATGCACTTCTAGCAGTATTCATTCTTCACCTCTAAGAGCATATGGTTTTAAATCAATAACATTTTGACATAATAAACCGAGTCCATGTCTGCCTTTAAGACCTACTTGCAACATATTATCACTCGAATTCCAGCGTGTAGGTACATCCAACACAGAACTTAAGTAAAAGTTGGTTTTTAAGTAAAGGTTTTTCAAGTG